AGCAGGAATCAACATGACACTCCTAGCAAAGTACACTAATTAGTTCCTTTGACGTTAATTGTTCGCAGGAGCACAAACTTCTTAGCCGAGTTTATGAGAAATGATTTTGAAGAACAAAGTTAGATTATTCTGTGCCTCCAACAGCCCTCTAGTTTCAATGGACAGACTGCCATAGCCATGACAAAATACAGACTTCGAATCTCTCCCCGACCATAGAGGTTATTTTCAAGATTTTCAAGTCCCTGCACATATTCTTTCCACGAGTCTTTCCAGGTGCTGGCCTTCATATGTGATGCTCACTTCATGCCTGAGGGAAAAAATGCAAGGGAGTTCCCATATGAGAAAATATCATCTTCCCCTGCCAAGTTCTTCTGACACACTAAGGTATTTCCCATTTCATTTCTTTTGGAAAAGATTTATATGGCTCCTTTGCACTCTTGCAGAGCATCCCTCACAGTGTCAGCTGCAGGCAAAGAAACATGAAATTAGGGCTGATCCTGCCTCAGGCAGGGGTTGGACTAGGCGACCTCTAAAGATCCCTTCCAGCCCTACTTCTCTGGGTTTCTATGACATCCCCATTTTTCTGACCATTTTTAACAAACCCTCGACTTCATCACATCCATTATTTAATGCTGAATTGAATGGTTTTCACAGCAGTCTTCAACTTTGTCCTGCAGTGAATTTAAGCAGGTGGATGAAAATCCCCCGGAGAATTGTTCAGATTAATATTAAGTCCTTGAAATTTATGATGTCTTGATCTCCTCCTCAGGGAGGCAACTCATTTATCACAGCAAACTTAATAATTTTTGCAAAGATTTCTAAATAGTACCCGATTCTTTCAGTTGGTAAGAACACCAAAGCAGCAGTTGTGGCACCTGAGAAGGAAGCGACACGACAAAATAAATATCATATTTATTACTCATGTGCTCAATAATGCCAACAAACTAATGGAAATAAAATCAGCAAAATCGTTATATGGTAAATCAAATACATCAAGTTATGGAGATATTTTCAAGATAAAGGATTTATAATTTATAGGGGCTGGAAAAGAAGATTTGGCATAGGTCAAAGGTGTGGAAATATAAGTAATATTTTTGTGCAGCACTAGAGGTATGGAGAAGTGGGGCTGGAAGGGCCCTGCAGAGGTCATCTACTCCAGCCCCCAGCCTGAGGTAGGATCATCCCTGTCCCAACCATCCCATACAAACAATAACCTAAATCCTGCATAAGACTACCGATAACCCTGACACAACACAGACGTCACACCTGAACCTGCCCCTGGTAAAGCAGGGCAGCCGCGGCAGCCAACGTCCAGCTTCTATGAAGTGTTGTCAATAAATGCTCAAGAGATCCCAGGTTGTGGGCCAGGCCCTCCCGCTACCGAGGAAAGCAACCCCCCCCACCAACCCGGTGCATATCAATCGGACCATGGGGTAAAATTCCTGCCTGCCCCAGCGCAGCACCAGTCTGACCCTGAGCGGAAGGGCACGGCCGTCTAGCCCGGATCCTCCGGCTTTCCTCCTAGCAAGAGCCCTGGCACAGCCCACTCGAAGTCTCAGCCTTGGCTGTAGCTTCTGGGGAGGCTTAAAAACATCCTGACACATAGCAAACAAAGGGGGAGTGGGGAGCAACCAGCCAAGCCCAGCAGCATAGGAAATGCCCACGGTACAACATAGACATCCCCGACCAGTGGCTGTCCAACCTCTCCTTGGCACCTCCAGTGATGAGGAGTCCACACCTTCCCAAGGCATCTGTTTCGCTGCCCTCTGTTCTCTCAGTGAAGAAGTTTTTCTGGATATCCAGTCTAAACGTACTTTGCTGAAACTTCAAGCCATTGATCTGCATCCTCCTCTCTGCAGCGGGAGAGAAAAGCTGCTTTCCCTCTTCTCTATGGCAGCTCTTCAGGTATTTGCAGACTGCTCTCATGTGCCCGTTAAAGTGCCTTTTCCACCAGCTGAACCTGTCCAGCTCCTTCAGCCTTTCCTCGTGCGACCTCTCTCCCAAGCCCTTCATCATCTTTGTCACTGCCTCTGGACTCACTCAATCTTCTCCACATCCTTTTTAAGAAGTGGAGCCCAGAAGAGGTGGCCTGAGCAGTGCCAAGCAGAGAGGCGCCATCACCTCCCGTGTCTTGCACCTGATGCTTCTACTGATGCAGCCCAAAATCGCCTTGGCCTTTTGTGCGGCTGCACCGCACTGCAGACGCCTATTGAGTCTGTGCTCTACCAAGACTCCCAGGTCCTTTTCCACAGAGCTCCCATCCAGACAGGTGTCTCCCATTTTGCATCTGTGTTTTGGATTACTCCTCCAGAAGAGCAGCACCTTGCATTTGTCCACGTTGAACTTCATCCTGTTAGCTTTAGCCCAGCTTTCCAATCCGTCAAGATCTTTCTGAATTGTACTCGCATCCTCCAATGTGTTCACAATCCTTCCCAGTCCCATGTTGTCTGCAAACTCGCTCAAGCAGCTCTCTTTGCCAGCATCCACATCATTAATAAACATGTTGAGCAGCACCGGGTTCAGGACAGGCCCCGTGGGACTCCACTCAAAACCTCCTGCCATGGATCTATTAATAATTACTTTTGCTTGCGGCTATCGAGCCAGTTATCTCTCCGCCTTGCAGTAGTTTTGCACTGAGTGTGGTAGCATCTCTTTAAGAGATGGACAAATCACAGGTGTGCCCACTCCGAGAGCTATCTCAGCCCCTCTTCCACCAGGGGTGAAATTCTGCTCCCCTCTGCCGACCTAAGTGCCAGGTTTCAAGTCATGTTTGGCTCTGTCCATATGATGTGTAAAGATGCATGTGAAGTAGGGCTACACACCGGCCTGGTGCATACACAGCACACGTGTGCACACCTAAGCATCAGTCCCAGAAGAACAGGGGCGAGGACTGGAGGCTCTTCCCATGTTATAGCCTTAGTAGCTGAGTGGGTTAGATGCTCACCCAGGAAGCCAAATACCTGGCTCCTGGGTGCCCATCATTTCCCAGCACAGAGCTGGAGCCACTGTGCCGCTGGTTAGGCACCGGTCAGTCCCCTCTCTGGCCTACGTTTTGAGGCTGACCCTAGACCCCCCAGCTTTTTGGACGAGTGTCCTAAAGTAACCACCCCTGTTCAGGCTAAAACATAGAAGCACCCTCCTCTTCCTCCTCTGTCTAACCCTCCCTCATCATGAGTGCCTGGCTGGCTCGGGTTTTGTAACTTGATGCAGATGTGTGCATGTCACAGGTTCAGAAAGGGATCAGACAAATTCATGGGGGGGCCATGAGTAGCTGTTAAACAGACCTGTCAGGGATGTATCCTCTGACACCTAGGAGCCAAGGACGGTGCCTGCCATGGAGGGTCTGGCAGGGGAAGGATCATGCTGGACGCGCCCTGTTCAGACACCCTTCATCTCAGGAGCTTTGGAGCTGGAACAAAAGCATCAGAGAGTTTTGCATGGGGGAAACATGACCTAGAACAAAGACTTGACAGAGAAAAGTGCGTAGGCAGAGACAACCGCCCTTGTACGTACATAGTGTAAGTCACAAGTCAAGTAGAGTCTAATATTTATTACAGTGATTCTCAGCCAGGGTGTTGTGGCCTCCTGGGGCACCTTGCGATCCCTTCGGGGGTGTTGCAGGGTGCTACGCGGTGCTAGGTGTGCGAGCATGATTCACAGGATAAATGCAGAGATTTCAAATAGGAATGAATCCAGAGTGTTAAAACCACCCTGCCCGGCTGTGGGCTGTCTGTCTGTGCTCTTTGCAAAAGAAGAATCGCTCTGGTATTTTTCTGGAGACTAAAAATCAAATGAAAACTCAGAGCTGGCATTTTCCAAGTCTAGTGAGCGGTGCCTTGCGTCTAAAAAGGTTGAGAACCACGGGTTTATTAAAAGAGTCTGGTGTTTCAAACCCTGCATGTATTGCAGGTATTACTACATTCTCCTTCCCCTTTTTCCTCTAAAAAGGGAGGCAGGGTTTGTTCACAGCAGCGCCAGAATAAAACCACTCTTTGTAGCTCTGCACACTGCAGGCTTCTGCAGACGCTTTCTTAATAGGATTACACGCCTTTTATTAGAGCAGCAAAGTAATGCCATCTCTCCACCTCACTTGCCTGAAACAGTCAGTGACACACACACACACACACACATACACTACCTGTACTCGCTAGCTACCAGGATTGTGACCTTGACTACTATTCTGTGGCCCTAACACTGGGCACGTCTACACGTGCAATGAATGCCATTTAGCTTTACTGTGCAATAAATGTAGATGCAAAAGCAGGTAGTAAATTTACTGTGCAGTAGACTAATTTACTGTGCAGTATGCACCTGCATGTGTGGGCTGTGATGCTTTACTGTGCAACAGATTAGTGTGCTGTGCAGTAAAACATCTCATGTAGACACGCCCACCGAGACACTCATCTGAGGAGAATCAGACTAAGAAGCTAGACTAGAAAAACCTGGATTACATATTATTTCTATGGGGGGGAGGAATTGACTGGGGGTGAACAGTGACACCCTGCCTTCCTCCTTGCCCTGACTTATTTACAGGCCTGGGGAATCGTGACTTGCAGCAGAGCGGTGACTTCACATCTGCATGCTGCACTGCTAATACAATTACTGGGAAAGTGTCTGCTGTTCTAGGGTCTTTATATTTAAAAGGATGTTGAAGAGTTGGAGAGGATGAAAGAAGAGTCACAAGAATAATTAGAGGCCTAAAGAAATTGTCTTATATTGAGAGCTTTACAGGGCACAAGTGTTTAGCCTATGAAAACGAAGATTGGAGAGGTGACTTGATTACAGTGACTAAGTATGATCCTGAGAGAGAATATGGGATGCTAAAGAGCACTTTAACGTAGCGGAGAAAAATACAGACCCGTGGCTGAAAGCCGGAGCTAGACAAATGCAAGTTGAAAATAAGGTGCGACTCTTACCAGGGGGGTGACTAACCGCTGGGAAAAAACGAGCAAGGGAAGTGGTAGATTCTCTTCCTACTGAGGTCATCACATCCAGACTGGATATTTTTCTGGTAAAAATATTTTACTCAAGCATGCATTCTTGGGCTCAGCGCAGATGGAGCAGATGCAGCTTAATGGGGAGAGACATACAGGAGGCCAGGCCCTGCTCGCCCCACCCTCGCTACGCGCTGGGTAACGTGACGGGCTTCTCTCAAAACTGAGAACAATCCAGGACGTGCGTCTGGACACGCGTGTATTTTAATTCAGTGATTTTGTTCAGACACAATTTATTTTCTATATCTAGGAACTTACTAATCCTGGTCTGTTTGGTTTTTTCCCTGCACAATAATTAAAACTCTGCCTCTTCTTCCCAAACAACACTGAGCTGCCGTGTTTATGGCCTAAGTATCTGCAGCTTTCTCCTCCCCAGTCCTGCCTTCCTGCCTTGCCTGCCCCGCTCCCCCATCAGAGGCTGGCACCAAACCTGCATCCTTCTCTTACGCTGCTCACATCACCCTGGTCTGACTCCCTGCGCCGGGTCCCCGTGGCACAGCATATTATGTTGAAGTTGCTCGTTCTTGCTTTCAAGGCTCTGAATCATTCACCTCCGAACTACCTCTGTTTGGGCATGTTTCGTTTGACAAATCTTCCCATCCCATCGAGCTTTTCCGTGGCATCTACTCAACCCACCGTGCTTTCCATTCTCCCGGTGTGGAGGGAGCATTTTCGGTACCGGTGCTGCCGTGCTGCATCTCTGCTTTAAGCTAAATGCCCCTTGCTTCCCCACCTATGAGAAGCGAGTTTAACCTTTCTTCGACACAGAACCCAAATGCAAGAGCCAGCAAGGTGTATACATGCTCTGCTAGGTCACGGTGGGAGTTCTTGCTATGCGTTGTCTTTCTTTTCTCCTTTTTATCTATTTATAGCCCTCATTTGAATTTAGGACCTATCCAAGCAGCCGGCTCTGTGCAGGGGGGTCTATGCAGGACTGGAGCTTCGGGTTGTAAACTAAAACCCATGCACAAAAGGGGGAATGCCTGCCTGACTTTGCAGCTGCTGCTATCCCACCATCAAGCAGCATTATACGCCCATTTGCAGTCCTCAAAAGGACCCGGAGTCACAGCTGCCGGCGGTTCCTGTACAACCAGCAAAGGTTTGAATTTTGTGGTAAATTCTAAATTCTTAAACGAAAAAAAACAAAAAAAAGAGAAAAGGGTTCCTGCTGGAAAAGACGAAAA